GTAAGATTAGAGTTTAGAGGTAATGATATACTGTAAGATTAGAGTGTAGAAGTAATGATATACTGTAAGATTAGAGTGTAGAAGTAATGATATACTGTAAGATTAGCGTTTAGAAGTAATGATATACTGTAAGATTAGAGTGTAGAGTAATGATATAACTGTAAGATTAGAGTGTAGAAGTAATGATATACTGTAAGATTAGAGTTTAGAAGTAATGATATACTGTAAGATTAGAGTTTAGAAGTAATGATATACTGTAAGATTAGAGTGTAGAAGTAATGATATACTGTAAGATTAGAGTGTAGAAGTAATGATATACTGTAAGATTAGAGTGTAGAGTAATGATATTCTGTGAGATTAGATTTTAGAAGTACTGATATAACTGTAAGATGGGCATGAAATTACTTTATGCTAAAAGTAATGTCATTTATTGTTGGTCTGAGCATGACAAAATGGCTAGCGTTCCAAACTATGGATCTGTTAGTACATCAATTATGACCCGCTAAAATATATTTTAAAAACCTGCTTCGTACTTTGGGGCTGAGAGTATATTATAAGGGTAACAATAAACTACCACTATTCATTGAGATAAGAGTAATCCAAGAGGTGACTAGTTGCACTCCCTCTGTCATTTTTAAATTAAGGGTGACTAGCACAGATACACATTTGAGTAAATGTGGGCAAATATTCTGAAAACCAAAGAATTATTTGTTGTTATTTGTAGTGAACATAAGGTAAGACAAATAACAGTTTATGTGGAAAAAAGGATATTTCAAGAGATCGCACTAATTATTTTAATTTAGTCGTATATTAATTTTAAAACAGCTAATGCCTTTATTGATAAAATAGCATCACTAGTAACTGTACTTGTTGAATTTCCCGTGATTTTGCAATATTGCGATAAGTACACACAGACCATGAACTTTTGGACCTGTCCCAAAACTTGCTGAAGTATTGTATTCGGTTCACTTTGGGTTTAAATAACATTCACTTTCATGCTTATCAGATATGAGTTTTATGGTATTAAATAATAGAATCATTTGAATTTTATTTACACATTGCTGTTATTTTTTTTAATGACATACCATCTGTAAAAAAACCCCAAAAAACTGATATTTAAGGGTATGACTCCATGTCATTATATTAAAATCGACCGTAACTAGAACTGTTTTGTAAATAGTATTAACCATCATATGTAATATACCATATATACTTTGATAGAGCATTACATGTTTTAAAATAAGACAACTTTACAGATGAGAAGCCCTGAGGGCCTCCTGAAGTATGTACAAATCATGACTGTACTTGCAGGTAAACGAACATTGCAGGTATGATAAAAATCATGTTTTTTAAAGAGGAATACCGCTTTGTTTTACACAGTTTTATAATTTCATCTACGTTAACAGGCCAACACATCTCTATAAGAGCTGTATTAACTTTATATTGGTATTTCGAAAAGGAACTATTGAAAAACCCAAACTTTTCACTGAGTTGGTAATTTGTAATAAATGGAATTATGTGCGTGAACCATTATATATTAAATCATGCTGTTTGTTTGTGAATTTCATTGTCTACAAACTCCTTTCACAGTTTTGGCAGGTGGGCTTGAAGTGGAGTGAAAATGTTATTTTCTGTATGGGATATCCTCCCTACCTTTATTTATTTGAGGTGACAAGGGTGATAAATGGGCCTGAAAGGCTCACTCAGACATAAAAAGGTCTAGGAATATGTTTTTAGAGTCACCACCTTGAATATGGCATCAGAATAAATATTTCTGGTTCCATTCAGGATCCTGGGGGCACCATTTTTGAAACTGTATTCATACATTGACAATCTGGCAAGATCAAATTTGGCACCATGCTGACGTACTACAGATTGACGTCTTAACAATGATTGTTTTCGAATATGGACCTTTCTCACTTGGGGTGGCTACAAAAGTAATTGGGAATAATGGAGAAGCTTGATCAGCATATTGGGATTTCTATAAATCATGATGGGCTTTTGACTCCTCCAGTAGAGTGCTGGTATCTCATGCAAGTTATGTGAATCGTATTTGCAAAAAAAGTATCAAATAAGCCAGAAAAACCATTATTCTAAACAAGTTTGAAATATTCCTGCAATCAATCAATCATGGTATCCTCCCCAATTCTGACGGTCGACAAATATGGCACTTCATTGTTTACACCAACTTTAATAATTCAAGTTTTTCATCTACAATCCATTTTTTAATGCTATAAGGCCAAAGAAGTCTCTGCATGCCTCTCTGTCAGCCTTTCATCAAATCTTATTATATGGCCAATGTAGCATACATACACCGTGGTTCATGATAGGATAAAGCTAGAATGATCATATTAGTCATTTCAATAGCTACAGAATTGAAAAATTACAAAAAGATTAAAAGCACAAAATATACAACACAGCTTAAAACTGGCTCACTCGTTAATCGATTGGGGCCCGGCATGGCCAGGTGGTTAGGGCACTCGACTCGTAATCTGAGGGTCGCGGGTTCGAATCCCTGTCACACCAAACATGCTCGTCCTTTCAGCCGTGGGGGCGTTATAATGTGACAGTCAATCTTACTATTCGTTGGTAAAAGAGTAGCCCAAGAGATGGCGGTGGGTGGTGATGACCAGCTGCCTTCTCTCTAGTCTTACACTGCAAAATTAGGGACGGCTAGCGCAGATAGCCCTCATGTAGCTTTGCGCGAAATTCAAAAACAAACAAACGCTAATCGATTGATAACACAGTAAGAAGGCTTAGTAACTACTCAACTCGATGACTAACTCTAATCCCTGAATAACTCTCTCACTCACGATTTACTTTTCTCCATACTTCAAGAAACTGTGAGATGCCACGACATCATATGTAACGATAAAATATATCTACAGTCAACAAAAACGTCTAGTTTAAAACATTAAAAATTTCTAATTAGCAATATAGTCACTATTTACAAATAACAAAAATTCACGTTCGTTCATAGACTTTATATACAATCATTAATTAAATGCGTTAAACAAGAATAATCAATATTCTGATGAACAAAACTGTGTACAAATTGTCTGATAAATGTTTACTTGTTTTGGTGGTTTTCCTCTCCGTTGTCTATGGTACAAAAAAAAAGATGACCTCTTTTACCTTGCTGTCATTGGGGGGAGTTATTTTTGGGTAGACGGTTAAGTGCATCTATTGATGGCTGTATTCTGTGGATTGTGGATGACCTCTTTTACCTTGCTGTCATTGGGGGGAGTTATTTCTGGGTAGACGGTTAAGTGCATCTATTGACGGCTGTATTCTGTGGATTGTGTCTTGACATAATTTACCTTGCTGTCATTGGGGGAAGTTATTTCTGGGTAGACGGTTAAGTGCATCTATTGACGGCTGTATTCTGTGGATTGTGGATGACCTATTTTACCTTGCTGTCATTGGGGGAGTTATTTCTGGGTAGACGGTTAAGTGCATCTATTGATGGCTGTATTCTGTGGATTGTGGATGACCTCTTTTACCTTGCTGTCATTGGGGGAGTTATTTTTGTGTAGACGGTTAAGTGCATCTATTGATGACTGTATTCTGTGGATTGTGTCTCGACATAATTTACCTTGCTGTCATTGGGGGAGTTATTTCTGGGTAGACGGTTAAGTGCATCTATTGATGGCTGTATTCTGTGGATTGTGGATGACCTCTTTTACCTTGCTGTCATTTGGGCGAGTTATTTCTGGGTAGACGGTTAAGTGCATCTATTGATGACTGTATTCTGTGGATTGTGTCTCGACATAATCCTCAGGCTCTCCAGTAAACCGATCCACTTACTGCTGGTAAGATTTTCAGTGAAGTTAATCAATTAGTTGTATTCCCATTGATAGGTGATTTTTGGCTTGGACCTCCTTGTCTTCTGGATTCCGCTTTGTTGTATTATTAGCACTGGAAGTCCAACTTC